GTGCTTGTGGTGTTCGGCCAATCACAATGCACTGGGTCAGCTGGCCAATCAGAGCAGACTGCGCTTGTTGGAAGCGTTTGAGAGAGGCGGGGCATAGAGGACCTACAATAATGTACAGTATTTGAAAAATAATGTGTTTTTTGAACATTAAAGCATGTCAACATATTCTGTTACACCAAATACACAAAATAATGATCTTTAAAAAAGCATCATATGACCCCTTTAATAACTGCTGGTAAAAGAATAGCTCACCCAAAAATGAAAATTTGCTGAAATATACTCACACTCGCGCCATCCAAGATGTAGATGAGTTTGTATATTTGTATATCTCAAATGTATGAAAAAATCGCATTTGAAGATAATTTTGAGTATTTAAGATGTATGTTGAAGAATTGGTCATGCTGTGTAGTACAGTCAAGCATTTATCATTTAAAACTACATCAAAACACTATTTCATATGTTTGCTCCATGTGCAGTGGGTGTTTCCGTACTTCCAAACACAGCTAATTCAAACATCAGCCTGTCTGAGGGGACGCCAACACCTTCACAGGCACCAGACAGCGGCCTCACTTTGCTCGCCTTTGGTAGGTTTTATACTGATAAAATCTCATGATACCCATTATTTCTGGTGCTAAAATATTTCCTGTCTGCAATTACAGGTGTGATGAGTCTTATACTAATTTTAATTGTTGTCATGGTGGTCTTGGTGACTGCTATCAACCTCAGGGGACGGTGTAGAGACACCAAACAGCATGAGGGTGGGTTTCTCTCTAATTCTGTCAGTTTCAAGATTACTTTTTAAGTATGCAATATAATTTTTTTTTTATGTATAGGTATTAAAAGCTGTGATTCTGTGGTATCTGACAGGTGAGGAGGACTTGATTGTGCATGTGTGGTCATCATCATTGTCTGTTTTATATATATAATATATACAATATAATATAATAAAATCAAGTATAAAATAATATAATAAGAAAAAATGAAATATGAAAATTAAACAAGCATTAAACTACAAGTTAGTGATGTCAATATACTGTACTAATGGGACATTTCAATAAATAAATAAAATAAGAAATTTCAAACAAATTGAAAACATTTACTAAAATGTTATATAATATTATGTACTATATTTAGACAACAGATCTGTTGAAAATTATCAATTTTTGATCAAGCAACATGACCAGCAACTGTGAGAACAATACTCTTGTCACTCTTGTCTCTGTGAGGACAATAAACACAGAAAACAGTAAGTACTTGCCTTCCTTAGTGTGTTCGTGATACCGAAATAATAGGATCCCATTTTATGTTATTCTAATATATATTCACTTCTCTTCTGTGCAGATACAGATTCTCCCCAGATGTCTTCAGTTCACAGCACTATACTGGACAATGAGGACCAATAATTTACCAGAGACTTGCTTGGCATCAATGACGGACTGTGATTTCACTTAGTTCATAGTGCATGAGATTGGAGGCTGCATACACTATTTATAATGTTCAATGAATGTGAATTAATGTGCCTCTATCAGATGGTCAGTGCACAGATCACACATCATGCTTATGGCCTACATTGGTGCACTGCATATAAAACGATCCCTATATCAGACATGCTCTCGTACAAACCCGATTCCAAAACAGTTGGGACACTGTACAAATTGTGAATAAAAACAGAATGCAATGATGTGGAAGTTTCAAATTTCAATATTTTATTCAGAATACAACATAGATGACATAGAGCACTATACGCCGCAGCATTGGGGGAATTGGTGATCCTCTGCCCATCTTGACTTCTGAGAGACACTGCTACTCTGAGAGGCTCTTTTTATACCCAATCATGTTGCCAATTGACCTAATAAGTTGCAAATTGGTCCTCCAGCTGTTCCTTATATGTACATTTAACTTTTCCGGCCTCTTATTGCTACCTGTCCCAACTTTTTTGGAATGTGTAGCTCTCATGAAATCCAAAATGAGCCAATATTTGGCATGACATTTCAAAATGTCTCACTTTCAACATTTGATATGTTATCTATATTCTATTGTGAATAAAATATAAGTTTATGAGATTTGTAAATTATTCCATTCCTTTTTTACTCACAATTTGTACAGTGTCCCAACTTTTTTGGAATTGGGTTTGTATATTAAACATGACACATCCTTCATTGATAAATAAAATGTCACTTTTGTGTTCATATTCTTGTGTAATGTAATGTGTAATGTAATCTATTTGTAAAGTGAGATACGGAATGTAAGGATTTGAGTCAAAAGTCCAACTACACAAATGTGTGTGGGTGTTCCTGTATAGGCCACATTTGACATGATAATATATTTGTTTTGTGCCATTCTCCTGATGATCCTGTCAGACTTTTATTTTGAGGTAAAGACTGTACGTTAGTGGTTTTCAATTCTGGTCTACACATCTGATTCAGATCATCAACTGATTTGATGAGAGCTCCCTAAACAAAGAGAGACATACAAAATGTGCTGTGAGTCCAGAACTGCAAACCACTGCTGTACATTATACCTTATAGTTCTTGAAATATTGGTATTTCCATCATGCATTAGAAAAGCTTGGAGATGGCTGAATACACATTTATATACAGCATATCTGACCTTCTGTACTTACCTGAGGTTATTACTCACATTAACACACTCTTGACTGGTAAAGTGATAAATGTAAACCAGATTAATGTCCAGACCATATTGTTTTCCTGATAAAACAGCACATTTTGTGTTTATTTTCACAAACATTGTGTTTTAATGTGGCACACAGGTGTAATATATTAATGGAGGAATCACACCAGTGACAGGAAACACTGGGGCCGTGAAAGGATCCTCTGATGCAGTCAAGACAGAAACCTCTAGGGCCAGAGCAGCTTTAGCAAGAACCTCTGGGACCAGGGAGGTTGAGAAAGGTGCTGGGACTGGAGCAGCTTTAGACATAAGCTCTAACTGAGGCTATGAAAAGAAAGATTGAGGCGGCCTTGGCTGGAATTTCTTTGGCAGCCGTGGCATGAATCTTAACACCATCATGAGAGGAAACTTCGTGGCACACATGATGGGAAGCTTTGCAACTGTAGCTGTTATGAGCTCTGAAACCATTGCAGGTTCTGGGGTTGCAGCAGCAGAAACCTTCAGGCCGGGACAAGAAGCTCTGCGACCAGGGTAGCTCTGAAAAGGTACCGAGTCAAGTAACCTCTGTTGTGCCTTTGATTGGGTTCTCTCTGACCTCAGCAGGTTCTGCGTCAAGAACCCTCATGGAGGCCTTTACAGTGATTTCTGAAGCATCCCTGACTTTGGCACCCAGTTGCAGGAACCTTTAGAGCAGCAGTGTGAAGGACCTTTTGGACTAGCAATGCTATAAAAATGGTGTTCTGGAGCTTTTACGTCAGGGACCTCTGTGGGACCTCAGCAGGTTTTGGAGCAGCAGTGACAGTGGCCTTCTCAAGGATTTCTGCAGTGCCCCTGACAGGATCTCTGGGCCCAAGGAGACTGAGAAAGTGAGCTCTGTTGCCATGTGAATGGCAGGAACCTCTAGAGCGGCAATGCCAGGAACTTGTGGGAAAGGCTTGACAGGGAGCTATGGGAAGCTCTAGGTGACTCCATTTTTAGAAATATGATTGGATGGGGCAGTACTTAACTTAAAGGGGTCATATGATGTTGCTAAAAATTTCATTATTTTGTGTATTTGGTGTAATGAAATGTGTTTATGCGGTTTAAGGTTCAAAAAACATAATTTTCCACATACTGTACATTATTGTTTCTCCTCTATGCCCCGCCTTTCTGAAACGCGTCGATTTTTACAAAGCTCATCGGTCTGAAAAGCAAGGTGTGCTCTGATTGGCTAGCTATCCAGTGCGTTATGATTGGCCGAATACCTCAAGCGTGTGACGGAAATGTTACGCCCCTACCATACTGTTATGATGCCCTGTCAGGCCGGAGCGATGATTCAAAAACATGAAAACCCATTATAAACGAGGCATTCGTTGCATCCAGTGGGGACATAATTATGGATTATAATGACTGATACTGTTGCATCGCGCCGCGTAAACATAAAACCATGTCTGCATTTGTGATCGGAGAAATGACAAACAACAAGCCTTACTTTACACTGCCCAAAAAACTCGCTTTCACAACGAAACACAGCGTCACACACGGTGGCCTAGAGTGTGCGGCGGCGGCCTAGAGTGAGGAGAGGCCAGGGGCTAGAGTGAGCAGAGGCGGTGGGCTTGAGAACGGCGCGGCCGGCGGATTCAATGAAGGAGCGTCCGGAGGGCTTGTGGCAACCACATGTGACGACCCCGGGCTGGACTTGCACTGTACATAGTGAAAGCCGATCTGGCGATCCACAGCGTGAAGTTGTTGTATTTCCTCACCGACCAGCACGGATCAGCTCCAGGCATGATATCATCCTCTTTTGGAAGGCCAAACAAAGTAGTTTCGCTTTCAAAACGAAACACACAGTGCCTTCACGACATGGCGGCGGCGGCAACAATAGTACAGCGAGAATAAAAGTTACGCCTTCTTTTTTGCATGAACATTTGGGCGGCGTTAAGCAAATCTTCCCACATAGTGATGTAGATATGTGGGGGCGTGTTAGAACGAGCCGTTTTAGGTAGGTGTGGCTGACTCTTAACTTTTATAAAGAATATCTCTTTGGATTTTAGACTTTAGTCTTTGCAACTTTACAGATCTTCTTTATGCACCAAGAGCTTGTTACAATCCAAAGAGAAAGGAAAAATGTATATCATATCATATGACCCCTTTAACTAAAAACTAAAACTATTGGCAATACACATCCGTAGGCGAGTATCGCAAGATGCTAAAACTACTGCATCAAGCCAAGGCGCCAGACGCAACCAAGGCCTGCCAGCCCCGCAAGACACTAAGGCTGGAGGGATGGAGGGGTCACTCGTGTCAGTCTGCCAGACGCAAGGCTGACCCTGTCCTCCATGTCTTACAGGGGGACCTGAAACACAATTACAAATTAGACAAAAAAATATTTCATAAGGTATAAACATACAACTTGTTATTTATGCAGTGTATGAGTATTGACTATATGAATTGCTGCAGGTATTGAAAGGTAAAATATGGAAGCTAATGTTCAAATTCAGATTATCAAACTAAACCACCAAAAAGCCAAAAAAATATATGAATGTCTTCAAAATCATTTTAGCTTGTCTTTGACTAGGTACCTTAAACCAGTCATGGAAGAGCATATCCTCCAGATGAAGCCTCTGCTCTTGGTCGCTCTTCAGACAACCTCGGATAAAACAGCAGCATTCTGTGCAGAAAGATGGAGAGATGTCTGATTATTACCTTCAACGTTACACTCGCTTTCTAAGCTGTAAAACTGAGAAAGATTCCTGCATTATCCATAAGGACATCTTTTATAAAGCCGTTTTGTCTCATTAAAAATAGCTGAAATGAAGATCTCACCATCAGGGAAGCCTGGCTGGAACCACATATCAGTGTCCATCAAACTGATATCGCTGCTTTTGGGGAAAAGGCTGGTGATCATGCGGAACAGGAGCACTCCCAGTGATCACACCGTTGCCTGTTTCCCATGGTACTCGCCCTTCTCAAAATATTCAACAGGGCAGTACCTCGCTGTCCCTGGAGGAAAGAGTTTGTTAAATGTTAAGTTTGCTTTGCCACTGCATGTTTTCTCACTTTACTCTGACGGCATTTAATAATAGTCAATAAAAAAAAATGATGACTGGCTTTTATTCTTCTGAGAATGTTGTTAGTTCATTATTAGTTCATATCTCGTCTGATTAAGGTATGGAGTCACTGGTCACTAGAGTTTAAGTCCCAAAGTACATGTTTGAAAAATAATACTTATCACTGTAGGTTTTGTATGATGTGCTTTTCAGGAGGTACCCATAGCCGAAATCAATCAGCTTGACCTCCAGGGTCTCTGTGATGACCAGGAGGTTTGGCATCTTGATGTCGCGATGGAGGACCCCCCGGGAACAGCACACAGCAGCAGCGTCGATAACCTGCTGCATGAAATGACGGGCCATCCCCTCACTGAAGAGGCCA